GAAAGACTTGGGGATCAAGAAGATCGTAACTCTGATTTGTCACGCTCAAAGAAAAAGATCGAAAATGACGTCGAGAATTTGAAAAAAGCAATCGCAGATTTGGAAATTCGTTTGCAAAAAACAGATGCGGATAAGCAGAGTCGTGAGCAACAAATTCGGACGTTGCAGGATGAAATGCAGCAGCAGGATGAAAACATTGCTAAACTGAATAAGGAGAAAAAGCATCAAGAAGAAATTAATCGAAAACTGATGGAAGATCTACAAGTTGAGGAAGACAAAGGGAATTATAGTAACAAATTGAAAGGTAAGCTAGAACAAAGCTTGGATGATCTTGAGGACAATTTGGAAAGAGAAAAGCGAGGACGAAACGAAATTGAAAAACAGAAACGCAAAATTGGAGGTGAATTGAAGGTTGCCCAAGAGAATATGGAAGAAATTGAAAGACAGAGACATGAAATTGAAAGTAATCTTAAAAAAAAAGAAAGTGAGGCCCAAGCAATTACAACACGCTTGGAAGAAGAGCAGGATCTTGTTGGGAAGCTTAAAAAACAAGTCAACGAAACACAAAATCGAATAACAGAACTGGAGGAAGAGTTGGAGAATGAGCGACAATCACGAAGTAAAGCGGAACGAGCAAAATCAGACTTGCAGCGTGAACTGGAAGAACTGGGAGATCGTCTGGATGAACAAGGTGGTGCTACGGCTGCTCAAGTTGAAGTAAATAAGAAGCGTGAAGCAGAGTTGGCAAAACTTCGTCGTGATCTAGAAGAAGCTAATATGAATCATGAGAATCAACTTGCAGCAATTCGTAAGAAACACAACGATGCGGTTGCGGAATTGGGCGATCAGATTGAACAGGCTCAGAAGGCGAAAGCTAAAATTGAAAAAGACAAAATACAAGCGCAACGTGATGCCGAAGACCTTGTAGCGCAAATTGATGGCGAAACAGCAGCAAGAATGAACAATGAAAAGCTTTCAAAGCAGTATGAGATGCAAATTGCTGAATTGCAGACCAAATGCGACGAGCAAAATCGACAGCTTCAGGAATTTACGACACTAAAGACACGGCTTAACAGTGAAAATAGTGACCTCGGGAAACAAATTGAAGAGGCGGAGTCGCAGGTGAATGCAATGACGAGACTAAAAGCTCAATTGACATCTCAACTGGAAGAAGCCCGACGTTCACTGGATGAAGAAGCACGTGATCGTAACAATTTGGCAGCGCAAATGAAAAATTATCAGCATGAAATCGAGCAAATTCGCGAATCGATGGAGGAAGAAATTGAAGCCAAAAGTGAGTTGATGAAACAATTGAGTCGCGCAAATGCTGAGATTCAACAATGGCAAACACGTTTCGAAAGCGAAGGTTTACTGAAAAGCGATGAACTAGAGGAGTCAAAGAAACGACAGATGCAGAAAATCAATGAACTTCAGGAGGCACTGGATGCTGCCAATTCAAAGATCAGCTCCTTGGAAAAGACGAAATCTCGTTTGGTTTCTGATCTTGATGATGCTCAGGTAAATCTCCTTTAACAATGTCCAAATTTTATGTTTCCTTAGAAATTTTATGTTTTATGTACACAATTTTAGTTTCCAAATTTAGAATTTACATTTAATTTTGTACTTAGTTTTCATCCATATTTTAATTTATAATTTTAGATGGACGTCGAGAGAGCCAACTCATATGCAAGTCAACTTGAGAAAAAGCAGAAGGGTTTCGACAAAGTAATCGATGAATGGAAGAGGAAGACCGATGACATAGCTGCTGAAGTGGACAATGCACAACGAGAAGCTCGGAATGTGTCAACCGAATTGTTCAAGCTGAAAAGTGAGCAAGATGAAGTTCTGGAAACGATCGAAGGTTTAAGACGTGAGAACAAGGAGTTGGCGCAAGAAATTAAAGATCTAACAGATCAGTTGGGTGAAGGTGGCCGTTCCGTATTTGAAATGCAGAAGATAATCCGTCGGTTGGAAGTCGAAAAAGATGAGTTACAACATGCCCTAGATGAAGCCGAAGCTGCTCTAGAAGCTGAGGAAAGTAAAGTACTTCGGGCGCAGGTAGAAGTTTCACAAATAAGAGCTGAGATTGAAAAAAGAATCCAAGAAAAAGAAGAGGAATTTGAAAATACGCGCAAAAATCATCAAAGAGCAATCGAATCTATGCAGGTGATCTGAATGTCTTCATTACTTCAAAAATTAAATTTAGAAGTGGTTAGAAATAAAAAATTTGAAAGAGTTCAAGAAATTCACATAATCAGCCTAATTTTATCCCGGATTTTAGGCTGTCACTTGTTATTTTTTTTTAAAATGTTTTGTTTAAATTACAGGAACTTATTGATTTGTTGACTCAGATTTGTAAAACCAAAACTGCAGGCGTCACTTGAAAATGAAACGAGAAGTAAAGCAGATTTGATGAGGCTGAAGAAAAAATTGGAATCGGATATCAACGAATTGGAAATTGCACTAGACCACGCAAATCAGGCAAACGCTGAAGCTCAGAAAAACGTGAAACGCTATCAAGATCAAATAAGGGAACTACAGCAGCAGGTTTGTATACTTGAAAGATCTTTGTCGAGTTCCTTATTGGTATTTTGCTTAATTAAAGTAATTCCACGAAAAACTTCGTTCCTTCCTTTTTTTTCGAGATTTTGTGAAAAAGGATATTTCCTCTCAGGTTGAAATCGAACAACGTAATCGGGAAGAGATTCGAGAACAGTATCTGAATATGGAAAAGAAAGCGACCTTGCTGCAGTCGGAGAAAGAGGAAATGTCAGTTGCAATGGATCAAGCAGAGCGAACCCGTAAACAATCGGAACGTGATGCGAATGAAGCACATGTCCAGTGTAATGAGTTATCTGCTCAAGCTGAATCGTTGAGTTCTGTAAAGAAGAAGCTTGAAACCGAACTTCTCGCGATTCAAGCTGATCTGGATGAAACTTTGAACGAGTACAAAGCTTCAGAAGAGCGCTACAAAGCAGCAAGTAGCGATGCCGCACGACTTGCTGAACAACTGCGACAAGAACAAGAAAATTCTTTACAGAATGATCGCATAAGAAAGGCTTTGGAATCTCAGTTGAAGGAGATGCAGGTATTTTTTGAGACGTTTTCGTTTGTTTTGCTTTTTTTTTTCTTCACTTTAGGATTGTGAAAAACTATAACAATGATGAGAAAATGGAGTTGCTTGAAATTAACACCATTTTATAGTCCTAAATTTCAGGCACGCCTGGATGAAGCAGAAGCCGCTGCGCTAAAAGGTGGCAAGAAAGTCATTGCCAAACTGGAATCTCGCATTCGTGAGCTTGAAAGCGAACTTGATGGAGAACAGCGACGATATCAAGAGACAAATAAAAGTCTTACTAAGCATGAAAGACGCATTCGAGAGCTTCAGTTTCAGGTTGTTCGCATCACTTCGCAATGTGCTTCAATTTAACGTTTTCTGTAGAGGCTCAATAAGACGATACTTATCCATCTTCCATTTCGACTATTTATAGGTGGATGAAGATAGAAAGAATGCCGAAAGAACGAGAGATCTTATCGAAAAACTGCAGAACAAGCTAAAATCACAAAAGAAGCAAATTGAAGAAGCCGTAAGTGCAAATCAGATATTAACTTGTTTAAATATAACTTTAATTTATTTAAATATCCAGTTTCAAAATTCTTCGTGTAAAATGGTTTTCAGAAATTATGCTAAAATGCTTTGTAACACTTGCATATTGCATCTGTGATTATATCAATTTCTGTGTCTTCGACTGGAATTTTCAGGAAGAGTTAGCAAATGTGAATCTACAAAAGTTTCGCCAAATACAGCATCAGTTGGACGATGCAGAAGAGCGTGCCGATCATGCCGAAAATTCTCTTTCTAAAATGCGGGCGAAAAGTCGCAGCGGTATGACAGCTTCGCCAGGAGTACAAATTTCCCAGTCATCTATTCTCCGTTCTTCTTCACGCGTACAGTTTTAGTGGCCTAGATGAATTATTTCGTTCAACATGCAGATTTTTTTCTTCGTTCTGATCTGTATTAGTGACATTTCGTCTCACAATAAACATTCATTATACTTTTTTTTGGTATTCATCAATTTTCGCTTATAGTTAAAGAAACATCATTACAAATCAGGAATATCATAAAAATTTTCTAAAAAACATGCAACATTTCAAAGATTCCTGTGTATTGCTAGTCGTCATGAAAGCATCAATCATATTTAATTGATCACAAACTGTGTTTCCTTAGGTGCTCTTGCCTAGCGATGTTTTATTTTTCAGAACTTATTTTGCAAACACACTAGCAGTACCGTTCTTTTACTATATTGGATCCATTAGGTTTTATGGGATGGCTTTTATTATGTCATTTCTTGTGAACTGCATGTCGTACTATGAATTTCAAGGACACAGTAGTTTACTAGACATGTTCATGCTAAATCTGCACGATGGTAATGTTGGATGCGGAAGTATGTAGGTAAATCGAACTGCATAATTATCCTGTTATCTTATACAATTATAGAAACTTGACAAACTTAATCAATACTAAAACCGCCCAAAAAAAAAAGAGGAAAACCCATGAGAGTATCCAGTAGATATTTTCAATATCGTAGCTAAGAAACGCACTTTGCCAACCTTCAAGCTTATTCAGTAATTAGCATCCAGCTGACGTAGGCAGAAAAGATTTGAAATTGCTTCATTACTCCTTAACAATTAGAAGAGAAATCCACAGCCAACACACAACTATCCAAAGCCTTTCATTCTTGTTTCAACTACTGGCAAGACTTATTTAGTTTAATTTCCCGTCAGCGATAGTCTTTAGTCCTTAAACTGTTTTTTTTTTTTTCTAATTTCAGCAACTCCTTTCAGTCATCAAATTTGTGTATTTATATTACATATCATAACGGTTTATATATTCTAAATCAGTGAAGTAAATGATAACGAAGATTATTAGCAAATCAATATTGAACACCAGCAATTAGAGACATATCTGACACATTGCTGTTTCGCTCAATTCCTGAAATCTAAACACCACTACCAGATGGATTGTTGCCCTGCTCGTTATGAACATCTCGATCAGCTGCGGCGTCCTGAATAGTTCACCATTTATCTTTACGAAGAAAAAAAAGTTCGATTGCAATATTTTATGTGAGAAAAAAAAGTACTAACCTTTTCCCAGGCTGTAAGTTGATTTTTCTGCGCATTACCGTCAGAATCTATATAATCATTAAATTAGCTAATTAAAGTCAGATTATCAGCGGCACAGAAATGAATAGTTAAAATAAGTGCATCAAGAGTATGATGTAGTGAAACCACTACAATAACACATAGTAACAATAACCATAACCAAGCAGCTTATTTTGCAATTATTAGCTAAATAATCAACCTAATGATCAAATACAACAAGTACAGTAACTATAGTTGTCATATTTCTACTACGAAAAATACCTACTTCTCGGAAACGTACGGCGCTTTGCATATTTTGGCGGAAGATCCCATGAGAGATCATCATCATTCGCTAAACGATATTAATAATGCAACACTATATCAGAATACTTTCTTATTTTTAAATCAAATTCGACAAAATGTTTGTTATGTGTAGGAGCGAGAAAAATCTAATCGAAGACAGTTGCTTTTATTCTATAAGTTCTTTGCAAATCTAAATAATTCATTAGCGGTTTTTTTATTCAACGAATTACAACTTTCATAACGGATAAATTTTAAAGTGAAGATATACTGGAAATTACCCTTTTCACAGGAATTTCGTGGCAACTGTTTAACCTTATCACTAGTACCAACATCGAATCCATTTCTAGCACTAAAATCGTTGCGGAACAATTCATTTTCTGGTTGCGAATTGTTGCTTTGGAATCTGAACGAAAATAGCGAATAATATTCAAATGACTAGGAAAAGATACCGAAACCATGTCAGCAGATGAACCAAAATAAAGCATTTATGGTCAAACGGTCAAAAGCTGTACTTACAAACGATACCATGTCTTTTCTCACAAAAGCCAAAAAAGTGTAATAAATGATAATACTTCCCAAAAGAAAACCAATGATTTGCAGGATTGCTACTGATTATTAATTTCTGATCCAAAAAAAAAAAATCAACAACCTAGCTCTATTTTTCTGCACATAATCTGTCTTCGGAGAACGTTTATTGTTTGTTGCATGTACGCCTGATCGAGCTCTTGCATTGTTATTCGAGAAGTTAACGCCCTCGAAATTATTCGTCATTGTTTTCTGAGGTCTCACAGCAAAGTTGTCTCCGGCACTCTGAAGGTTATTATTCGGGACTGACATAGGCAACATTACCGGGAATATCACTGGCATCATCATGGGCATAGCCATTGAGAAAGGATTAGAGTACAAATTTGACCTGAAATAATCATAATGCACAAAACACTAGTCTCCTTCGTTTGTTCTGGCACAAGAAATCAAAACTGAGGATTTAAAATTAAAATTAGATAACTGCTTATTTTATCTCTAACTCACAAAACCTAAACAGCACTTTTTGTCCTACCTTGAGTGGACAGACTGCAAACTGTAAATAGGTTTTAAAATATCGCTGTGAATCAAAGTTGTACCAGAAATTTTGAGGCTGCTGTGCCAACCCACGACGAACAATATTTAGTGCTTCCATCATCATCGGTGTCATCAATTGTCGTTGACAGTTTTCAGTGACCAATTTTCTGCACGACGAAACCATTTCAGTCTCCCGTTCATTGTCAGGCACTGTTCCTCTTGCATTTATTGCTAAAGAAAATGAATCACATTAGTGGCAATAGAAGTAATACATGAATTAGTACAAATCAATTTATGCTTCAAGTTTGCTTCAAAACATACGTCGTTGCTCACTGGATGTGCCACCGGTTCGGTTCGACGTAAAAAATGGTCCGACTAAATCAACCGTATACATATCTGTATTCATGGCATTTCCCTTGATGATTATTTCACAATCTGCTCCCTTAAAGAGGTCCTGCAAATAAAGTGCTCCAGTCGCTTGAAAAAGCATAAGCTTTATTGAATGATAATAATATATAAGAAATATGAGAAAGAATAAAATGAAAAATATGTGATAGCAAAAACTAATTAAAAATATCTAACAATAACCAACCTTGGCGTGAACAGGGCTTGTTGTGTCTTCGCGACAATGTATCATTGCTACTGGCAAATTTCTGATTGGGTCAGACTGTAATAATCGAAACTATTCGTGAAAGAGAAATATCTGAACAAATATATTCAACGATCCAACGATCAATACAGTGGAGCCGTGATAAATTAACTTATTCATTTACATTAGCTGGCTCGACTCAAAAAAAAAAAAGAAAAATATTGACCTTATCCATAGTGGAAATGTCAACGACATCATTAGTCAACACCCACTTGAACCAGCCGTAATCCACCAAAAACATTGAGACTCTGAAGAAAATTATTTCTTACAGATAACCGATTACACATATTAATATCAGTTCAAATTGTCTTATTCCAAAACAATCATCTGCAGCAAATCATAATGATACTTTTTCGTGCGAGGATCGTACTGCGTTGGAATAGCACGATAAAGTGCTTTATTAGCAGTGTCAGCCCTAGCACGTGCAATACAAGGTATCTGTCGTACGTGGATATCCTGAACTCTGAGACTTATAGGTGGGTAACGTGATATTTTATTCCATGCTTCCTTTAGCACCTAAAATCATTTTAATAAAGGTAATCACACTAGTAATGCTTCGAGTAACATAGAAAGGGGGCAATATACCGTTAACAAAAATGGATTTTACACTTCCCCACTTGTGTGTTAAAAAAAAAAAAAGAAACGATTCAATAACTAAGTTTCGATGTTCAATAAATTGAAACAAATTGTTTCCTTATCATGTCCGTTTCTCACAGCGAATTCTTTCTCCGGAATAGAGGGGCATCTTAAAACTTACCCTTTCAGCAGCTGAGAAAATTTTCTTACTGACAACCCAGAAACTGTTCATCATGCGGTCACTTCTGTCAAATCGAACAGGTACTGTCACTGGTAGCATTTCAGGTACATAATGTTTGAACGCTGTCTGGTTAAATAGAATCATCAAAATCATTTTTCGATAAATTACAGAATAATAACAATGTTGCGGATTGAATAATTTTGGAAGGTCAGACAGTAACTGTTGAAAATAGAAGTAAATTTCGGATTGCGAAACATAATGATCATAAGATTTCTGCTGAATTTTTTGTATTTTATTAGGATTGAGATGAGATTGAAAAAAAGTACTTTAGTGTTATCAAATTCCATGGCGAATTCTACGCCCGTGCGAACAGCTAAAAAAAAAAAAAACTATTATTTGGAGAATGTTATTATGAATAAAAAAATTTACCAACAAGTTTTCCTGAAATCTTTTTTAAAAGACAAATGAAAGTTAATAGAGAATTAAAACGTTTGTCACACCTTTTATGTTTGGAAACAATAGTCGTGGATTGGTATTTGTTTCCAGAGATTTGTCTTTAAAATAGATTGAAATTAAATTCAATTGTGCAAAGAAAACAGAGAAGTAAAGGAATGGACGAAACATCATGGAAGTAATCTTGCTTCTATCCCATGGAGTTAGTGTCAAGTCAACAATCCAGAAACATTAAGGAAAACCTAACGATATTGAATTTCCAGAGCAATTTTAAAATACTTTTTTTGCCCTTAAAAATTTGAATGCAGAAGTTTGCAAGTCAAACAGAAAGACTTTTTTATAACACATCTATCATACCACTACAGCCAGGACGATTTGCTACTTTTCCAAAAACAATGTCGCGCAGATCCTTATAGCGTCCTTCAATCTCTATCAATAATCGACCACGAACAAATCCAATTACCTCTACGGATTTCGACACAGCATCTAGAAAGCTTCCGCTTTAGAAAAGTTCAAATGTGTCTATTACAATACCCTACTGTAATACCGCGCACACAATAAAATCATGTATCATTTTTTCTGTTGCTAATCTTGTCCAAACTTACCCACGGCGCATTTGCATTTATACCCAACAAAACTTTTGTAAATATTTATTTGCTCCACAGATGACATAAGAACAGGGCAAATACAACTGAACATCCCGAATCCCAACAACACTGGTGGAAATTCGTAAATATCACCAAACTCTACTTCACACTGTTTGCCTTTATCAATAAGATAAATCTGCAATGTTACCACATATCATCTTTTAATTTATCAAATTTTTTTTATGTCAGAGATAAAAATGTAAACTTAATCATTTTTTCCTTAGACTCTGACAAGTAGGGATTACCGAAAATACATCAGGCAATGGTCGGCGAATGATGTATGACCTTTCAAACGAGTCCTTCACTTTTACGACGTAAACTTCACCTAAAAATTTTACTGTTTGTATTACTTCATGCTCTTAAGATTGCATTTGAAGACTTTAATAGTTCGCAAGCGGTTACTATTATGATCTGCTCTCACTCAGAGCAGTTGCAAAGTGCGTGCAGAAGCTAGAAAAACGTAGCGTTTTCTTTCTTCCTTGTGAATCTTTTTCTGGACTTAATGTATCTAGATAAAAGTTAATAATTACCGGATTTGATAGCCGAGAGAGATGTGATTTTCTCCAAAGAATGTGCTAAACTCTGAAGCACAGCATTAATTTCTTCCCACTCTCCCCACCAACCAAATGGCTTAACGTAAATCATCGCTTCATTTCCAGCCGCGACAACATGACTGATTTCACCCTCGAAATCTGAGACCATCGGCAAAGACAAAACAACCATTTTTAACTGGTTCTCTGAAAGGACTAGGTGGAAGATCGTAGAGTATCTCTCGGGGAAATGGAAAAAGTACTTGTGTGAATATGTTCCCAACCAGACATACTTGAAATTAATCCAGTACTGTGACCACTAAAATTTCAAATTGATATAACTCAAAGATTTCCACATATTTTTTCAACTTACATTAACTAGTTATTTAGTAATTAAATTGTCTGTAAAAAAAAAAAAAAAAAACATCACTTCTTAATTCCTCCCCAGTGCACGTCTTTCAGCACTTCATTTCTTCAGGGTTTAGTAGAAACTGATGGGTCTTGCAGAAATAACAGTAGCAAGAAAAGGGAATTCCAAAATTTGTAATTTTTATATAAAGAGCCAATCTCGGGAATTTAGATTATTTTTGAAATTCTTTTCTTTTTTTTTTTAGAAAAGAAACACTATTTCAGGGACCTTTCTAGAAAAATATTTTGTATTTATACTGCGACGTAATTTAAACGATGCGAAACGGCCCTGCACTTCAACTACCGCATAAAATTCTCGACGAACCTGAAGAGAAAAAGACTGAACCAACCACACACCAGCAACCCAAAACTCCAGATTACAACAAAAGTCCCACCAACCAATTTTTAGGCCAGTTGCTAGCCTAAAATCATACTGTGCACAGTACTCGTTGCGCAAGAATGTTCCGGAAGTTCAATCAAAACGCGCGGCAATTCGAATTTTTCCTGAGGTGATAAATGTTTATGCAGTAGGCAGGCAGGTTCTTATCAGTATTTCACTCCTCCCTTCAACACCTTCAACTGTGATAATTATCCAAAGCTTTCCTAGTGATATTTCTTGTATACCGTTGATTCCGCTGCTCCACAAGTTTCTATCGTCCGATTTTCGACAATACCACCAATAATTATAAATTTTGATCTTGTAAAATTGAAAAATATTTCAATTTTCATTTATTCTTATGGCAGTCCTTCTATATAGTAGAAAAATGATCTTTAAATTACATTTGTTAAGAATATATTTTTAGCTTAAAATATTTATTCTGAAAGTCATAAGTTCCTGCAATGAGCACTTTGTTTGTGACTGTTTACAATTCTTCCAGAAATAACTGTCCAAAAAAGCGAAATCTGCTCCAATAAGATTATCTCTCGATAACTCTAATAGAATAGAGTTGTGATATAAGCAGGTAGGAGGAACAACTGCAAGATTAGTACTACGGTAAATGAGATGTATTAAAACATAAGCTGAAGAACACAGAAGGTAAAAAATGTTAACAAAATGTTCTTAAACATACTTAACAGTTAGCTATAAACAGCTAATTGCTTAAACTAGCCACTTCTGTGTCTTATGTATTTTTCGTTGCTTCTCCAAAATCTATCCTTATAGCGATTTAAGGATAATAAAGATCAGGCATTATCAATAACTGTTCTAGAATAAAAATTTCAGAAACTTCATCAAGCCAAAGGAATACGGTATAATAACTTAATTATGGAATTTGGAAGTGTCGAACAATTGCTGAGTTGTTATTCTTGTCATGTTATCATGGGAGCCAGATAACTTTGGAATGGCAGTAGTTAAGGATTATATTTCTAAAAGTTGTGTGCATGGTTGTATTAATAAAGCAGTAAAAACTTATCTTTGATTGAAATGGCTACCAAAGTTTACTAACTGCTTTTGAAAGTAGCGATGTACAGTACGAAAGGGCTTACAGTATCTTTGAATACTTTGAAGATTTTCAAATTCCAATGTAAAATTTTTCGTTTACTATCTAGAAACCATTGCCTAAGACCAACGTGGTATTTGCTGCATATATTATTTTGAATTTTTTAAGAAAACACTACATTTTGAAATAGTGAAAAATTTACTGCGAAGATTTTTGATTTCGTGCTAGCTTTCACTGACAATATCGGTAAGGTTGAACACTGTAGTTTTCGTATATCAGTGTAACAAATTAAAATACAGAATGTCTCCTACTCGCAAATTTTTTGCAAAGTTTTGTAATGTTCTTTTACATACTAATTTTGTTGGCTCAAAAGGATAGTGCTGTGAATGTATTATCGGAAGTTTTTCATCAATTAATGAATTTATTTACTAGTTTTCCAAAAAGTTGGATTTTTTTTTTTGTTAATTCATAGTAAATAAAAAGAAAAAAAAAAAAAAAAAAAAAACATAAAAACGAAGCATTGCCCATCAATAATAGTTCGCCAGTTCAGCAGGATTTATTTTTATTTTTTTGTTCGGACTACAACCGGACCCAAAGTTTTGTAATGTTCTTTTACATACTAATTTTAAGATTATATATACACTATCTACGGATTACTTATCAACAATTCCTCATACCGTATCCTGTGAGTTGTGGTATGGATTAACTTCAAAAAGTTCTCGTTAATGTATAAATACTCATTAACTAAACAGGATATAAAAGAAATCGACAAAAGGAACTAGATGGATTTTGAATATGCAAGGTATTCAATCATCACTTGATATTTGCGATACTCCACACCTTAAAAAATTGATGCTGAAAATAATTTTTCTTTCTTCCTCATACAGTCAAGAACAGTTGATTTTTAAATGAATATGTAATATAAATCGTTGGACAAAAAATGAGGGAACTAGGTGAAAATCATCTGTACATAGAACTTCAAAAAATCAACGAGAAAAACTGTAACATACAAAAGCGAAATAGGAAGCTACGGGTTTATATTACGTACTCTCACATGCTTTCAACTAATTCCGATGTAATACTTCCACATCTTTTTTCTTTGCAAAATAATGAGTGTCACACTATCCTAGAAATAAAGCAAGGTACCTGGTCCACTGCAGATATTCAACACCTTAAATTTCTTGAATTAATAAAAAATTCTAAATACTGCAACAACTCCCTGACCTATCCATTTTAGAGTTTGATAACACCCATACTTTGAGGACCGAATCCATAAACCTACACGAATAATAGCAACCACTTGGTGATCTGCTCTTATAAAAATACTTCTTTCACTGATATAAGAAACATGTTCTGTTCGAAACCAAACTACTGTAATGCATTTCACGCGAGCGACCACCAAAAATTTAGCCCGTGATTCCATGTAACATTTGCTTCCTACATGTAAATGTTCATTTCAGTTATGGTAAATGCTTTTATTAAATGCAACATTCAAATCAAAACAACGACAGGAAGTCAATTATCCTGTCTTACTTCAACACCGGTTTCAACATTGAAACCAATTTTAAGAATATTAATCAATTACCATTACAAACAGAATCAACGCTTATTACGTAACTAACATACAGATATTTTAGAATAAAAACCATACAAAGTATTCTTCTGGAACAACTATTATGCAGAAAGATTCAAAGATACCACACTGTTCATAAAGTAGAGAAGTTTTCAAATATGTGAAGGAACAAATAACAAATTGAAGAAAAAAAAAAAAAAAAGAACAGGCATGAGCACAGGTTACAAAAGTATTGGAAAAATGGATGAAGGAAATAATTTAGCGACCGAAAACCTTTGCACCTTTTAACATCATATACCGTTCGATAACAAAAAGGCAAATGAAGCTGAAGAAATATGTGGACTTAAAATAAATTAAAACTGGTACATATACTGGAAATTTTACGAAGCCAACAACCTTTTGAATAAAAACTTTAAGAAAATACGTCCCCATTACATACTTATATCAGTGCCGGAGAAAATATAAAGAAAATTAGGCTATAACAATAGACATTAAAACAGAAATAGCTCCAAAAAAAAGAATAATACGCCTATTAAAAATCAAACCAACAAACCTCGGGTCAAGAATTTTAGAAACTGTGAAAACAAACTTGGCAGAGAGTTAAAATTCAAGGACAATATCAGCAATGCTTTTTCTAATGAACCTATGAATTCACTCCTATACTTGCATAGAATAAACTTATAATCTACGAAGATCGGAGCACACATATAAATGACATGAAAATAACAATAATAGAAAGTAAAGAATAATAGAAGCTCATCAACATATAAAAATCTGTACTCAGTTTCCTATGCAGAATTACTCCAAACATTACAAAATGGTTTGTGTTATAAGAGAGCTTAGAAGTGATGCTTCATATTGCATTGTTTGATAGTGATATATAAAATAAGAAATTCTAAAGAAGCAAAAAAAAAAAATTTGAATAGTAATCAGCCATCATCCAGTCATTAAACAGTTACTGTTTCTTCTTTCTGTTGATCTGCATGTGGAGGCTCAGTCGCAGTTTGTTGATATTTCTTCTTATAAGGAAACAAACTATACATGAAAATAGCTCCAATGACAAAAACGGTACCAACAAGAAACAGAGCAGCTGGGCGGAACTGAAAAAGCACTGCAGATGCGATGCAAGCCACAATGATGGCAATAGATGCAGCAAATGCCTTCAGAATATTATCGGCGTATTTTATGACAACAGCAACAGTAATACCACCGATCGACGATAACATAATCAGACACCAAACCACAATATCAAAACCAACTAACATACCCTGTTCTAGCACTCGCCTGCTATCCTGTATCTAAAAATGTCAAAAATAGGTTGGAATATAGAACAAAAATTGGAGTCTTAACAAATTTCGCACAAAGGAAGAGCTGCTACGCACTACTTCACTGTCACTTATTTCCAACACAACTAATAAGAAAATAAAATTTTCCTATATTTTTAGTAAAGTTGGAAAACTAAGGAAATGAAAACCTACGAAAACATTGGCCAAAGCGACTGGAAGTGAGATAATCGCAAGTTGCACATTTCGTATCCATACTGACACATCCGAGTCCTTCAATATTTTCTCCAAATATATACCGGAAAATCCTGCAATGATTCAAGTTAGAACTGGAAAAATTAAGAAAGCAGAAAAACCAAAAAAAAAAAAAACGGAAAAAAATTAGGTCGCCTAATTTACTATGTATGGTCACTTTTTCAACACATAAAAAGCAAATCGATGCCATATGAAAGCAATGAAAACACTGAAAAAAAAAGTCAAGCCAGTAATTCTGATAAAATTAATAATGACATCTCAACAAAAAAACTTCAGGAAACCTCCGCTATAACATCGACGGATTTTGCATTCCGATTTGCTTACCTGATAAAATACATGCGACTAAAACAGCAGCGAAACCATTGATAGGATTTTGTTCTACAATATGTTTGTAAGGTGTTCCCGATTTTGCACTTTTGGAATTGTCGTCTCGAATTGATGTCATGTTTCCCTTAATTACCTTCGTACTGGCTCTTTGATCATCCTTTAAAAAATTGTTTTTAATTTTATTACTAAAAAATATAACATTTATGGTACTAAGAAAATATAACATTTACAAAAAAGATGAAATCTGAGCAGCTGGAAAAGAAATCTCTAAGCATATAATATGTTCATAACCAAATAAAGATCAAAAACCGCTTAAGAGTAAAAAAGACAGAAAATTTACCAACTGAACCAATGCGATTCCTCCAAAAAGCAAAACGAGGGCCAGCCATTGCAGCAGTGAAAGACGTCTTCGAAGAATGGTTACAGTGAAAAGTGCTGTTGTAAGAATCTTAAGCTGATAAGTTACCTAAAAAAGAAAAAAACAGGACTAAATGCCAACCGCCAAACTCAGCAGAAGCTACTCCCATCACAGTTTTCATGACATGGACAAAAAAAATAGAAAAAACTATCCAACATGAACATTTTTAAAGCACAAACAGCAACAACATCTTTAACATCATATTAAGCTGTAATGTCATATTTAACAATTAAACTACTGATTTAGAATAGAATGCTTCAAAGACAAACCATATAAGTTGCTGCAGGTAAATTCGATACAGCAACATAAAGCAGATTGTTTTGAATAACATATATCACGGCTGGCACGCACACTTTCAAAGTATCAATCGGTTGCTTGATTATGTCTACATACATTACTTTTAAACATCTGGAAAAGAATCACGATACTTACAACAATCAGAATACGATTATGAATAATCCTTTAGGAATTTGAAAATGTTCTTAGCATTTATACGAACAGCTGGTATTCTTCTTGAGTATGGGCGCTAACAATCAGTACACTGAAATCTATTAATAAGAAAATTACTGACATCTCAATTATCACGCTCCACAATATACACTCATTTTACATCAATATTCCACACCTTTCACTTAATGGCGAATTTCACTTTTGTGAGTAAACTTTTGCAAGCAACGTAAATGCCATCCCTACTTAGACCAAAATAGTAATGACATTATCCAGTTAACCTTATCAAACTCCTTTCCTGGATGGTAAGGAACAGGATGCAAATAATCAGTTTGACAACTTCTGCGAAAAAAATTGCCACTGTCGACAGGAACATTTCACGCGGTCGCGTTCTAACATACCGCATAACTAGTACTTGTGATGCGTTTTGAATCACAAGGACTATTAAACTCACATACTTTATTGCTGTATCTGAAAACAAATACAACAATCGGTTCGGAAAAACACAGCAAAAAACACCTCAGGCAACACTTCACGAGAAACTATTGGATAATTGCTTCCATAAGCTTTTTTCAAAAACGTCCAAGTAACTACCTTTTTTCTCTGCACTAGCATATTTCCTGATCCAAATTCTTCCACTGTCTTGTCTCCCATTTTCACCACAAGATGACATCCTTCCTATCTGTAACAAAGAAAATTCAAATCTCTAATCAAAATCCCACAATTCTCATAAACTAAACACTAAACATACGTCCTCGCCATATACACGACACATTTACCATTATTTACGGGTACAGCTGTGCGATCCAACTCCATATAAACCAGAAATTCCTGATGGAGGAATTCCATAACTTCCTTGCAATAATGATTCAATCGTTAAATGATGATATTTTATTTCTTTTAGTCAACTCATCAGTGAACAAGGAAACAGAACTCGCTGCCTAAACAAGAGAGTTTATTTGAACTTTCTAGACACTTCTCAGAAGATCTACTGTACTTTCTACTTGGTACTATTTCCATCCCATGATGAAAAGACCCTATCGATTTTTGGAAGAAACAGTTCACTTCAGTAACTGGCCAATTTCTCATACAACCACACTCAAAGATCATTAAAATCATTACAGCGTCAGTATCATTCCGTATTGCCATCAGAACACTTCGCAGTTTTAGAAAAGGACCTCAAAAACCGCAAGCAAAGTCTTCAATTCAATGTCAAGAGAGAAGGAATATATTATCAGTTGTAGACATCAGAAGTTCCAATGATATAGAAAATGGTCGACCACACTAACCATGACAAAATGATACCAACACTGAACAGCGCTTATGTACTTTTCATCTTGCAGGCGGGTCATTCGGTTACTGTGCAAAGGAAAACAATCACTAGCAACAAGCAGCCCTCGCAGAAACCATTCTTCCTGTTACGCCGCTTCTCCATCTGTTCATCTGCTTCACCGCTCCCATATCGCAATGACATCGGCATTCCTTCTTCTGGGCAATTTCTAAGCTCCACCCAGTGTAAACAAAGAAATTCGTGACTACGAAAAAGCTCTACACATCGCCGTATGTTAAGCCTATCATGTAAATTGAGGATACAATAGTTTATCAGTCTCCAACTACGCAAACCCGGTGTATTCTACCATATTCACAATAATCAGATTTTGATAAGAACTTATTTTCACGACTAGCGAAAATAATAAAGGTATCAGAAGATAGTGAAAATATAATCATTGTTCATTTGAAATCAACATTTGACAGTACACAATGAGAAAAAGCGATTTCAATTTATTTCAACTTTCAAAGTGTATAATATTTCAAAAAAAAAAAAAAAAAAATTACACAAATTGAACATGTAAAAAACATAAAAAAAAAAAAAAAAAAGCAGTGATATCTTTAATACAAACCATAAAAACAAATTTCCGATATCTGTATCAGGAATCACATAAATACATCCGATATATTGCTTCGTGCTCACGACAATCAAATTCCGGTACGAAATTTACTTTAACGATTGATGAGAATCCTTCCGATAATTTCGGTTCCTTAAACAAATATTCATAAATGATTGACACCTCAATTATTATCGAATTAACTTCTTCGACTTGTGCTGAAAATCTATTTTGCTCTGCATCTTTATCAGCACTTTCCAGACAGCACAACATCTCAGCATGTCAATGAGCACTTTTGCCTCTCATAGATACAAAGCGGAAGCGATGTAAACTGTTCAATATCTCTTCACTGATCAAAATTTATAACCAAGGAACTGAAAGCATACCTCAAATTTTTTTTTGTAACCATTAAGTATCATTTGGCCAACTTCAATTTGTTTTTCTTCAGCATCAACAATGACACGATATTTACAATTATGTGCTGCTTGTTCTAATGTACAATTGAACAAAAAGCACCGCAAATCAGCTCCAAATGATTTACCAAGATTGATATATCGTTTTCTGACGCACAATAAAACAATGTAAAGGATAGCACGGCACAGTAATTACACGTAATACAGATGTAACAATATAATCCTATTTTAAATAAAAATCAGGAGGGAGTTGCAAATTGTTTTAAAATTTATGTAATGAAACATACTGCTTCTAAAATCTTTTAATTTTACTAAGCTCAAAAAATCTAACCATCTAAATCAATAATATATAATGATTTTACAACTCTACGGCAGAGGATGTCAGAAAAGGAAGTAAATATAAGCAAGATAAAACCTCGATTCTCTGTCAGCATTAGTATTATCGACAATAACATTTTGCTGCCGTTTCAAAAGAATTTTTGCATTCTCAACACATTTCTGCCACGTCTTCAATGTGTCTCGATTCACTATACCATATCCGTGTTCTACAGCTAATTTTTGAGCAAGACTACTTTTACCACACCCAGGATAGCCAACGAATATGAGTACTTCCAAACCATTACCTGGTATTGGAGTATTTTCTGAAACAGTGTATGGGAAATTATGTCTCCAAAAGAACCGGATTTTTATGAATTTGGGAAAAACAAAAAGTTTAGGCTTTAGCAACATAACAATCTATCTTACCAGTTAAGCAAAGAGAAAAGTGTAAGGATGGATAACATAATAATGAAACTATCAAGACATCAATAACACCGCTGTTTGTGCTGCTAAATAACTCCTACCCCTTTTACATTAGAATATCCATGTTATAGATCCTGTTACATTAAACAAAGAAATTCGCCGCTTACATAATACTTCAATTAAGGAATAATATAGAAGAAAAAAGGGCAAACCTGGATCATACAAGCTAACTTTTTGATCCAACAGAGATGATGGTGAAAAAGACGGTAATATATAATCCTCAACTTCTATCTGCTTCAAGAAATATTGTTCTGGTGTGAAAAAGTTAATACCAAAATTCAAAGCAAATAAGCGATCAGCAGCTGAATGATCCTTTTTTTTTCGAATCTTCAAATGAATTGGATCCAACTTAATATTTCCATTCATAATCGTTTAGTAGTTATTACTTGATGAAAACTGAGCAGAATAGATAAATGAACAACGAAATAAATGGTTGCTTACATGATGAGTCCAAAAATAAACAACACAAATAATGAATTAGAAGAAATAAAAGAGGAAAAAAAAACGAACATTCGTTTGTATGCGACCTGCAGCATCACCAACATAAAATGATGACTGGCGATTGATTGAAATACCGCCATTTCCATGGCTTTCAAAGTAATTCCACATACCAACATATGGCTTACGGTAATGCAGTGTTCCCAGAGAAACAAATACCTTAACAAAATGTATTGAACAATAACTTTGTATTATGTTTCCAACAGCCACTCTAAAGTATAATGATCCCCACAGTATAAATTTCCAGTATTGAGAGTTACCGAATAAATAGTCATAATGATTCATTTTTCCTTTTTATTTACTAGAACATGTGACAGAAAATATGTCCGCAGTTTCCATGTCGGCATTTAACATATTAATGCATAGGAAATAGATATTCTGCACGAAATCGGCTCAAAAGTAAATCGCTAAAACACTAAGTGAAGCACACTGAGAAAACCGTTAACAAAGTCAACGAAACTACAGATGAAAATTTGATGATAATTCTAAATCCCTGCTCGTACTCTTCGTTTTATCTTTTCCCCTTTTCATGTCTGTAAAATGAAGTGCATAAAAAAAAAATGCCCTGAAAGAAAAAAGAAAGATGTATGTCTTAATGATTGATTAAGGGTACGAGATAAAAATGCAAGTTTAAACTCGTTAAAAAAAAAATTGCAAAAAGAACAACTTAGTTCTCTAACTGTAAACATGCGAAATATGTGTGTACACGGCAATGCCTAGGCCAGTCTGTTCCATATCTACAAATCAGTGTTCTCTAATTCTAACGATTATAGAATATGCATCAAATTAAACTATCCTAATACCAACACTGGATATTTTTCGTCACGAGGTTAGTGAAAACAATATTCAGTCTTTTGAAGATGAAGCTAACCAGTCTGTAAAATTTAATTTCTATATCTCGCTGAAAGAGCTTAAAGAGATACCTGTATGGGAAGCTTGATTTGTTGACACACTTTCTCCACTTTTCTGCAGAAAGCATCACAATCTTGAGAGCCCGTCTATAATTAAAGAACTAGAAACTGCCCCTTATAGTGGTTCCTTTTGAATAATAATTCACAGTAATATCATCTCACTAAAACGAAGAGAATTAAACCATATATATTTTACTTCATTCATAAAGGAAAAAAATTCTGAAGATAAATTACTTACTAGTATACCTCGCTGATTTGTAAAGATCACCACTTTGAAATTCTTTTCAGCAATTTCGGCTAATGTTTGTGGTACGGATTCGCAGAAAAACTGCCAGTCATATTCACTTTCAGGAAATGTCTTGCCTGATTTCGTTACTACCACGGTGCCATCTCAAGCAAAATTATGTCAATAAACAGGTCCGACTACGCTTTACAAATTTAGCCACAAAGTGTGAAACATTATTTGCATTGCACAAGCTTAATTTTTTTTAAACGAAACTCTGAAATGACGCAAACAGTCATAATATTCTAAGTACATTAATCATGATCAGCTAATTTGTCGAAAACATGGTACTAACCACATCAACTGCATATATTATGTATATCCCATTTAAGTAACAACGAGCACATACAAAATACTGGGACTATAGGGATCCATCCACAAAGATCCTCAATCTAATAACATGTCGCCTCACAAATTTCAATGCACCTTTCCTGGTCTATCAAATATTTGTGCTTTTCCACCTCTCGACCTGACAAATTTAGTGCTTCAAATCCAATCGTTTCTAGCATTTTTTTTTTCTTTTTTTAAGAAGAAAAAATCGTTCGTTTATTGAGAAAAGTGGAGAGATAAAATACAAGTGAATGCAGTAAACTGAAAGAAAAAAATAATAGTATGGGGAATGGATTAAGGAAACTGAAGCACTTACTATAGCCTGTATCGACTACTGAATACAACATATTTTTGGAAATAAGGTGCACGGAAGTATTGTCTTTCATGGCACTTACACACTTTGCATCGTTAAATTAGGTATTATGATTGAACTTTAGTAACCAACCAAAATCAAAAGCTGCTACATCTGCACAGTGATTAGTGCTACCGAAATCAAGGACTATAAGATCTTTGCCAACACAATACCATCGAACGCGTTCCCCATTTTCGCCATCTTTTCGATCTAGATTTTGAAATATGATACACATTGGTGAAAATGTGGTGATTTCTATTAGTTAAAGAAAGAAAAATTGAACAATATCAACATCAACAACATCAATACCGTTAAGCAATAGTTGCAAACCTTTTTCGCTGCTAGTTAACCAGTCATACATAGTTGTACAAGATCGTTTAGTCATCATTAATCCTAGTACTTCCGAAAAACACCTGTTCCTAGAAGACGCCCATGTCCCACATTCAGACTTACGAATCTTGATTCCACTGTCGACAAGAACGGAACTGGAAAACTGACTGCCGGATATCTGGACAACTTCCCGGCCGGCCGCAAAATACCCACATTGCAACATTAAGCAGACTATAGAAGCGGAGGAGGTGGTATACCTCCTCTGTAGAAAGGTATTGTGTGTTGTGGTTTGGTGTAACAGTGAAGTAGTGGCGGGGTGTGACAGTGGCTGGAGCAGTAACATCGCCTTGTCGAGATTAACTTCTCGTCTACGTGAAACTGCGAATTTATTGTTGGTTGATCATATGACAAAGTTCACGATGGCGGAAAAATTTTAATGCCAATAATCTAGAATTTTTTGCTTCATTGACTGTTTGAGACAAAACGGAATAAAAAAAAAACAGTAATTTTTTTTTTGTTTCTGATGAGAGCTTTGTCAACAATGGGTAGAGAAATTTCTTCCATCTGTAATAGTTAAACATTAGTTATTTATTCCTCATCATTTAAAAATGATGAGGGACTATTCAAAAAACGCTAAGAGTCACTCTGGAATTGGGCAAGACAGATACTGGTTCAACCAGAACATATCATATAATGTTTCGTGACAAATTACGGTTTCATAGATCTAAAGAAAGCAAAAACTGAACTCAAATTTTCCCAGTAGATTAAATCTTTCAAGGTTTAATGCCATATTCCATCTCTTTATTGTCATAATTTTTGTCAACACTTATTTCTTTCTCATATAGGAACGTCAATATTTGTAGCCAAAATAGACTGTCGAACAAACTCGATTTTTATCTACATTTTCAATTTGAAACAAATGGTTTTATGTAGTTTGTACAGCGATGCATATGTTTTATCAACAAAAAAAAAAAAAAAAAAAATGATAGCTCTGGAACTCGCCTTGTTTATTACAGACGAATACATTCTTCTGATTACTTGGTAACGACCAAACTTCCAGTAATTCGAAAATTCTGCGATTTATGAATAACATTAATATCACTTCGGTCCAATAAACTTAGCATGACGTTTAAAAGCAATATAATTTTAAATCGGCTTTTCAATTATTTTATGGCAAAGGTTTTTTAATCTATTTACCTACGAGGTATTAGACAAAATAATCTTCAGTAGTTAAGCAAATAACAGCTAGAACTGGAAATTTAATTGTATATCTAATCGAATATATGAATTTGAAATTGGCTGTCAGTAAGATCGAAACTATGTAGATTTGTCGGCCAATTATAAATAGTCTTCCTAACGATTTAGTTTTCTAACTTACTTGAAGCTTGTAGTAAGAACAGGCAAGTATCTCACATTGCGACGAATTTTATGGATTTGGAAAAATTTAGTTGAAATTATTCAAATAACAACTCAATCAATATATAAGAATTAAAAAATTCAAATCTAATAACAGTTAAGGATAATTAAAATTGAGGACAAAAATACGTGATAAGGAACTGTACTTTCAAAACTTAATTCCAACTCTTCAAAATAGTTGCGAAGTTCTCTATTCATTTCATTTCGATTAAGAACTTGCTTTATGAACTTTCGCTGCAAGGTCATGCTCTCCATTTCACTTCTATGATCAGTGTATCTATCAAAGTCTCAAAGCTGTTTGAATTTAGCGTTTACTTTGCAGCCCAATTCTTATAATTTCTGCTAATTTCAGGGCATCGACAGCAACAATCAGCCAACTTCTATCTTCACCGCCCCTTCCACATCTTTTCCGATCTTTGACGAAAGTTCATTGAAAATCTACTTCCAGTTTATTTACTTACAATACAGCGCTGGCCTTGGTTTAGTTTTCGCCTGTACCTGCGTTCACTTCATAATTTTTCACTATATTTGTAGGTATTATAGAAAATTTGATATCTAACACTAAAAAACTTTAAATTTCATTTTTCATCTGTCGTTAGAGATGATTCTTCAAAAAGGATTTCTTAAAGGTAACAGATCTTTGAGGATTTTTATGGCTATGTAGGTCAATGGAAACTTATTCGAGGGTTTTGAAACATTTTCTATAATATTGTAATCATTTACTACTAAACTTCATCCTTCTTTTTTCTCATTTTTCTTTTGTTAAGCTCAAAAGCTTAAAGGCAAGTATTTCTTGAAAATAAGATCTTAGATTTGGGTAAATTTATATGGTTGGTGGAAATAAATTTCTTATGGGAGTTGATTAAAAAGTTTAGTAATGCTCAGAATTGAGATGAAATCAAACTTTTGAAAGATTATAGATCGAATTAATGTTAAACTTGTAAAGTCATTTAGAAATTCATTTCTTTTTTTTTCTTTCTGTAAAGTCATTTTCCGAGAGATTAAGATGTGTGACCAGAAGCCACTGTTGAGATAGGATCTTCATTCTTTGTTTTTATTCATTCCATTCATTTCCACTGCAAGCATTTTCCATGTACTTCTGTTTCTTTATGGTACTTATACCAAATATTCGGAAAATTCTGAGAATGCGTTCTTTAAAAATGTCAAAATCAGCTAGCTAACATTTCTCACTTGAAGTTAGGAAATATTCATATATGGTTAACAAAAGGAATGAAAATATCATATAAGATTTTAAATCAATTTCAGTTTCCCAACGAACTAATTTAATAACATGAATAATATTGAGGGATAATTTTCCATAGTGTCGTAGTCCTTGAATACTTTTTTTTTCCACGTGGAATTATTGTTCATAAGTAAACAAATGTAACTGCATAAAACAACATATGAATTGCTATTTCGACCTTTCTATAAAGTTTCGCACTCTTCAAATTTTATTTTTAATTTAGAGGCTCTATTTGAATACATACTGCCTCAAATACTACTGATTCGCATATTTCATACTGAAATGTCTTGTATACTGTTCATATATAACATTACGTTTCAGTTTATTAACATGATTTATTTGACATCCTTGTAAAATGCTTTAACAACCAATCATCTTCGTTCTTTAATTAGTCTTTTATCATTGATAATCTAGGACCTTCAAAAATAGTCGCAAAGTGATCATTACCTGTAATATCTATACAAATAGAAGCTTGAATAAAAAATAGGGTACAGAATTAGAATTACATTAGCAAAACTGATAGTTGATGAAGTTTAAGAGTAGAGGAGACTGATGTTGATTTTTTTTTTGACTAAATTAAACATTTTTATCCCAAATTTTCTTGAAAAAAAGATTATAATTGTATAGAAATTTATTTTTCCCTCAATATGTTGCTTTATCAAGTAACACAGAATGGATTCAGATCAAAATTACTTATTAGTCACTATTCTTTTGAGCACTAAATTTCTTTATTTTCAAGTTTTTGTGTGAAGTTTTAGATAAAATCTACATAAAAGATTTAAAAAATTGATGTATTTTCCATAAATATTACCAATTATATTAATTATGAACCAAATGGTTACAGCATAACTTAATTTACATTTCTTAATTACGAACTCCTCAGGTCATTTCAGTATTGTAATTCTCTTGAAATTATCTCAAGCTCATTAACCTAGCATTAAACATGACGTTTTGTTTCCCAAAGATTCGAATATTAATTTAATAAGCATAATTTTTTGTCTTATAAAAAATTACAAAATGCAAAAAAAGAAAAAAATTAGGAAATTCTATGGTATCCACAGATTCATTACTGTAAACTTCAATTGAAATTGAATTTCAGCTATAGTTATTCATCGGATGTACTAACACAACTGGCTAATATCAGCATTTTCCAGAAATACAAAATTAGTTGCATATAATTATATTAAGGAGTCTTATGATTGTGGTATTGCTCTGATATACAGTCACAATGACTATGAATCGCAAGCAGATCACTGTCAACATTTTCATTTACATTTATTTTCTTACGGTGTGTTATTATTTCTTACTTTAATCTGTCATGCAATCTTAAGATTTTTCTGCTTAAGCTTAAGTATGTAGCAGTCCTTTGGAAGCTAATGCATCATGTATGAACTGAAACAATGTGGCACCATGTCACATATTGGTAATCAAAATCATAAAAATTGTAAACAAGAATATTCTTTTGGGAAAATTCGTAGCATAACCTATTATTTCAGCTATTCCTTTATTTTTTATTTTTTGTTTTGAATTTAGTGAAGGAATTATGAAAATGCTACATTTACAGGTATATAGAGTATCTGGCACTACAATTGATAACGGAGTAAAGGGTTAATTTGTTTTTGTATTTTTGCTAATAATGTTGAAGATGGAAAACGTCGAAAAAAAAAATTCTAGATGCTGAAATATTTTCAAGATATTTTCAAGAATATAACGTGAATAGAAACATTAGAACTTAGATCATAGATGAATCCTAAAAATTTCTGTACCTCAAAAAATTTTTTCAAGTCTAAAATCACTCCATTAAGTCCTATGTCCGTGAAGTTTTCAAAAAAATAATAAATCTTTCCTTTTTTTCGATTGAATCGATGCAGCCGTTTGCAGGTGAACCGATATTAGAATGTGCAGCAGATAGTATGTCTATCACTTTTATGACAGAAAAAGAATTTGAAGGACATGTCTATGTGAAGGGCCACTATGATAATAACTTATGCCGAACAGATGCTACCCTCAAAAAAGATGTTAATTTTACTGTACCCTTCTCCTTATGTGATGTACGAAGGCAACGTTCGGTTTGTCATCCGATTCTTCAACTCAAAATTTCAAAACTTATTGCAGTAAAAAGATATAAAATATTTCGTTTTCGTAAATAAAGCAACGAAGAACAATTATATCGTAATAGTTACAAAGAAATGAATTTAAAAATTTTTTAAAGTCAATTAGTTGTATAACAATCAGCGGTCTTTCCAGTCTACACATTGCATTTTCAGAGTAATCCACGAGGTCTGTATGTATGCATGACTGTCATCATTACTTTTCATCCGGTATTTTCTTCTGCTGTTTAAAATTTAAAAATTACTCTAAAGCCAATAAAACACTAATTTTTCTTTTTGTTGCAGATGTTTATCACCAAAATTGATAAATCATACCACGTGAAATGCTTTTACATAGAAACAGATCGTACTGTGACAACACGTCTTGATGTTAGGTTACTTTATGAATCCTTTTTTTATTTCTTTTGAAAAATTAAATAAAAAATTTTAAATAATGGTGAGCAAAACTAAATTAGAAAAAAACAGATATGCTGGACTTCAGCATCATATTCTTTAGCTTAAATAGTGAACAACAAAGGAAAATCGTTGTAATGATTGGTGGCGATAAGCGTCAAGTGAAAGCGCTTACCAATCGTAGTAATACAGTTGATGATTTCGAGTAAGTTATTTCTGTTGAAGTTACAGTTATTTCTGTTAAAGGGTAAAATAAATTTTGCAAGTTTATTACATAACTGATAATATTCGGCATCTTAAAATAACCAGTATTCAAATCATGAGATATTTTTAAGAAACTCCTTTTTCTGATTTTTTATTACATATTTTTTTTTTCTTTTATTAGTTTATGTTATTAAATCACCTCGAGATTTTCCAATTACATTAGTAAAATTTTTAGGAAATTCGAATGTAAGTGCTAATGCAAAAGTGTTGAATGAAACCTAATAATTGTTAATAAATGATAAAAATTTCCAGAAGTGACACACTTTCAAATGGAGTGATTACACAACAGATAGCTCTTCCAACTTGTCGATATCAGGTTCTTATGGACGGACCACATGGTTCCCCTGTGAAATATACAACTGTTGGAGAACAGGTTTATCATCAGTGGTCGTGTGCAGACGAAGATGGAACAGTTCCAGGTTGAGTCTTCTATATTTCAGCTTATAGAAATGCTGAATAGTTTTGTTTGCACTTATTTCTTTGTTTTCATGGCAAATATTTTTCAAAGGAACTTCTGAACTATAAAGATCATAGGTGAAGTGGCCAAGGAAATTCCTTGGACTAATTTACATCTAAAATGATTAAACATTGCCATTTTTTGTTCATTGCAGAAACAAATTTGTACTGCACAACCGTTCATTCATGTGTAGCTAAAGAAGAAAATGGAAAGGAGGTTCAGTTGTTAGACGAAGATGGATGTGCTGTTGACAAATATTTATTGAACAATTTGGTTTATACATCCGATTTGACCGGTGGACAGCTGTCCCAGGTAGTAATACTTTAATCTCATCAGCTTTGCAAATTTGTTATTGCATATCACTACCAGAGAAAGAAAAAGAGTGAATTAGAATATATTAAAAAGTAGCAGTTGTTTTAAGTTAAAATTAAACCATTGGGAAATCTGTGTTCAAATTTTTCCCTTTTCGAATTTTCCCCTTTTGCTACTGAAGAAATTAGCCATTGAAATCTTAGACTGAATCTTTAATCATCATTAATTAGTGGTATCACGGTATCACGATTTCTTTTCAGGTATTTAAATTCGCTGATCAATCATCGCTATATTTTCACTGTCAGATACGGCTCTCATTAAGACGTGGAAGTTGTAAGGTCTATCCTATGATTATTTTATATGAAACGATCAAAATTTAAGAAACTGATAAATTTTTCTTCCTCTAATAGTGAAGGGATTAAGTATGTGAAAAATTATTGTAGAGAACAAGCGACAATTGTTCAATTGGGAAAGTGAGGAGTAAGAGGGAACTGTCAATTGCTTCCCAGTACAATGATGCCGATGCAACAGTGGTTGATGTGTTTTCGCAGTTGATGACGGTGTTTGATATAGATGATCCAATAAGTACTTCATAGTTCATTTCTTGAATGTTTCACGCATTTAGACAAATGTTATCTGTGTATTGGTTCAGGAATCAGGATGCCCGTTTTTAACTTGTATAGAGTTAACCGAAAGTTACATTCCAAATTTACTTTTACTTTGCTAATTTCTAATTATAAGAATTGTTGTCGATGTATGTTAATGAACTATGGTTGCAGATGCTGATTCACTACAACGATTTGAATCGAAAGAGCTAAAACATGTAACAATCTGTTTAACACCGATGTCGTTCAGTTTCCTGTTAGCACTCTTTACCACCGAGCTCCTCATTTCAACCTTATCAGTTATTGTTCTATATCGGAGAACTTGTTATAAGCAAGAATATTGTACAGAATGATGAGCAAATCCGGACGATTAATGCCTAATCGTATTCCTGCAATGTGTTGCTACTTATTATATCCATTATTTCATTCCTTTTAAATTTTTGTGATCTTCAAATGTTCAGGTTGTTTTTTTTTTCTCCTTTTCCACATTGAGTTAGTTAAAGATACAGGGAAAAAGGATATGACAAATCACCTCGTTGGTTATTGAACTTTATTCAAGAGCCAACATATATGGCTCTAATCCGGACTTACTGCGCAATGATGCTTTGCCGTAATAAAATTAATAATCATAATCAAAGTAGTTTATCCCTGTCGAAAAACCAGAAAAAAAAATATTTATTACACACTGAGTGTTTAGAATAATTCTAATGATTCATCACTATAAACCAATTCGTTATTCCTTTGTTATATCCACTTTTTTGAAGCAATGAATTCTTTATCTAAATCTCAAATAGTAAATGTACATCTGTCTTCATTGTAAATGTTAATCTACTAAGCCAGCCCACTTCCTACATCTTTAAAAACCTTCTCTAATGAGTTAATAAAAAAGAAACGATCGCTGGCAGTTTTTTCATCCGCCTACTCAGCAGTACTATTTATTCCTTCACTGTTTCAATTATTCGACTGTATATTGTATCGATTCACATTTATTAAAAAAATAAACGATATTTAGTCGATCTTGCTCGCAGACAGAAGCAAAAGGTTCAAGTGAAGTTCTACAAACTTAAAGTAAGTCAAGTGAACTTAACTAACCCAAATCATCTATTCTTCTGACCAACTTCGAATTTATGACAAGCCCTAAATCCCTATTTGTTTGATTATGCATAAAACTGTGGTAAAGGTAAATTGATATGGCAGTGATACTGACGTGAATGATAATGATAAATGATTCGAAATATTTGTTATTTGATTGGTGGGCGAACAAAATATACTTTCTTTACTTTCTTTGAAGTATTATAATTTGATAATTGATAGAAAAACATGCCGAATATTTTTATCATCTTCGTTTTCTTTAATATTTCATACTGAAAGTCTAAATCCATCATCATCCATTTGAGCGCTTCTCTATTCAGAAAGAAAAAAGAAAAAAACTATTCTGTTGATACACGTTAAAATAAAGTAAATTATAAAATACTATATTCAGGTGCGTTGTATCAAATAAAATTGCATTAATATTGTATCCAAAAAAAAAAACAATTCCTATTTCTAGTAGTACTATGAAATTTTGATCCGAGATAGATACCAGAAAAGTCTTGTACAGCGTTTTGATGCATTGGGATATAAGAAATTCCGCCTACGACTCCACATTTGTTTGTAAACTTTATTTATTATCCACAGAAATCCACAAATGATATTTCAGACAATATTATAGTATCTATCTTTCTGTTCATAATTTCAAAAAAAAAAAAACTATCTTGAAAGTTTAGGAAGGACATTTATTATACTATCTTCTAAGAACCCAATACTAACTTATCGTTTAACGGAAAATCTGAAGGGAACATAAAAAAAAAGTTATAACACGACCATCACTTGAAAGAAAAATTGGGATAGCTCTTCTGAACGGAAATATCTAAATAATTGTTAATATTGGAACATAATAATCATACAACAATAATAACAGTTAAATAAAGTGATTAAAGGATAAGTTAAAACTAAAAAGAATAGGGAAAGTTCAAGCAGCAACTTAATTTTCGGAGCATAAGCCTGCTAAAATGTTTCATTGAAGAGATGTAAACACACAACGAACTGAAAGGTACGAAATTTACGAAAGTATCAATGAGTGATGGCAGTTTTCGAATTTCACATTTCATGGTAATTATTTACTAATTTCTTTTAATGCTGTTTCCATCTCGCTCTGCAACGAAAGCGTACAATTAATTACTCATTGACAAATTGTTTAACCGATTATTTAACTGACATACCGTAAAAATACTTCAATTTAAATCTATTATCAGTTTCTTTTCTTTATATATAAATAAGAAAATGGTTATCCAGAATTCAAAATCCGCATAAAGTAGAAATTAAAACTTTGCAAATGAAGCAATCTTAAAAATGTACTTGTAGGAGTTTAAGGTCTTTAACAGCATCTAAACGAGTTAATTTTTCGGCTGCATTATTCAGTTGTTCCATAATATCGCTGATCTCCTCTTCATTGCCCTTTACTTCACTAAATATAGATGAATAAATAAATAAATAAACAAATGAATACATTAGTTTAAATAAATAAATTAATTAACTAATAAACAGATAAGTGAATAAATAAATAAAGTGTGTTAATGTGATAAACTAAGTAAGCATAAATAATGTCCAGTATTCAGATCAAAAACAAAAAAGAAGACATTTTAACCTGATTTCAATTGTTGCTGCTAGTTTCTGCATTTCATACTTTTTTTTCCATACTTTTATTTCTGCTGCATATTCTAATATTTTCCTATAAAAAGAAATGATGTTCGATTTCTCAGCGAATACTATCTGTTCATCTGTCAAATCGATAGGTAGTCATTAATGAAGAAGTGGAGAAAGAAGTTAAGAAGTCCTAAAATGACTTTACAAAAATATTATAGATTCAAAAAAGACTGACCTTCTAAATTCTCTTTCTGAGCGTTCTTTCTCTCTGAGCTTTAAAGTCAGTCGTTTCACTTCTGCTTCCAACGCCTGCAGTATTCATTTTTTAAAACGTTTTCCACAGAATGAACAAATGACATCATTCTAAAATCACTTTGTTTGTGATTCATCACATTACTATCTAGCTTTCGGATTTTCCGTCAAATAAATTTAAAAATCTTCCTCAAAAAAATTTAAAGAAAATTAAGTATGTTAAATTTGCACACTTAACTCACTGGTATAAAAAGAGTAACATCCTTCCCTAGTATAGCAGATCATGTAACAATTACTTCTTAAAAAAAAAATGTCTTTGAAATTTGAAAATGAACTAACTTCATGTACTAGCTTAAGATTCTAAATTAAATAGTCGTTTACCTGATTTTTTCCTATTAGAACGATCATTTCTGCAGAATCCTCTTGAGGCTTTGATATTTCACCTGAAAAGCATCTGTTTGCAGCTTCTTGTGTATTTGAAAAAAATCTTCGTTCTTAAAAAACTATTTTTTTTTTAAGTGCAAATAAGGTGTGAAGAGACAGCAACATTGCTAGCTTAAATGTCAACAAATAAATTTATAAATTTCTCTGATCCTTGGAACTATTATACTTGCAATTTAGAATGAAGTTAAGGCTGATGACAAATTGTTATACTACTATAAGGTACCCACAATATTTTTGCTGTATGAATATTTGTAATAAACAAACTTTCAGATATCAGAATAATAACTGATTGCTAAAAAATATCAAAATGGGTCTTCTAGAATGCGGATAATATTTCTAAACAAGCAAGTAAATGTTCAATTCCATTAGAAAGTCAAAAATATTTAAATTTCAAATTTTTGACGTGTAGGAAAAAAAATCGAATACTAATTGTAAAAATATCAAAATGAGCCTTATAAAACATGCTCACTTTAATTTTTTTTTTTTTTTAAAATCGAAAATCTACAAACTCTTTGTTTCCGGAGAAGCAGGTATATTTACCGGTTGCTCACACCGTTGTAATACAGCACCATTTTCGATATGATACGAGTTTCGCGTGCTGATCTGAAACCCAAATTTGAAATTTTTTGAGTCAAAAAAAAGATCTCAGCTGGGTCATTTTAAAATCCTGGTGGAAGTACAGTTGAATTTACAATTTCATGCTATGTTTAACTGAAAATCCTATGGCGATCATTTCAACTATGGCAGATATATCAAAGATGTTTTGAAAATTACTTACAGCACAAGCAAGTTTTCAAATGCTCAATAACCTAAATTAAAATAAATTTGATTTAACAGAAGCTTTAGCAAAAGTTGCAAAATTATGAAAACCTAACAGAACTTTGCATTGTAATGATCCCTGTATTTCGCAAAATTTTGGGTAAAACTATTTGTCCTGTCCTCATTTGATGATTTTCCTTGTTATCCCATTTCTGGAAAGAATGGCTTTTAACCTTTTTGTTTTGGTAGCCTTAAATAATCCTAAAAGATAACTTAACAAACATCGACGAAATATAATTAATCAATGTGAATGAAAATTAATTGAAGTTGAATGAATTCAATTTTTCACAGGAATTTTCTATGGAAAGAACCTATTTCATGAAATTGATAAATAACAAACAGAAAATCTATGAATATTAACAACTGTGCTTGAATAAGGTTTGGAAATATTGGAGGAAGATGTAAGGTAACGTCGATTATAATAAGTTATGCTGCGCTTTGGACTGTGTATCAGGGATGACGTGGAAGAACGCTGAATGGTGATACTCTTTTCCGTGGACTGCTGCAACGATCCCGCATACGTACTACTACCATGCGCATTATGTGATAAGGACCTGAATAAAGATTACAAAACTATATAATATTTTCTATTCACTTTTTGTTTCTCGTAATTTTAGTGATATTATATGTTTCAAAAATGTAAGAAGTCAAGAATTGTACTCTTAAATCGCATTGCCTGATAAGAGCACCTTCATTCAAAAACATCAAATTTTAAAATTTATCCGTCTCATTAATAAGACTACGAACTCAGAGCTAAACATCTGCAACTTAATAATGCGTCAATACATTTCACCATATATTTGTTCTACGATGCTTAACTGGAAGTTTACATTTCTGCTAGTTACATCAGATAAACGAAGATGAAAATTGAACAGAAATTTTAAGATCAATTTATTGATTGAGAAGCTTTTTCCTGATATTTTGCTTCGATATGAAAAAGCATATTTACCGCTGTAGCAAAGGAGCTCGTCCACTACGAGCTCCAAATGCATAAAATGTCCTTAATGATAATAAAGATCCACTCGGCATTCGAGAATCAATACCTGTTTTCCTGAAAATTTTGCAACTATTATCTTTTTAATTAGCAGCGACATATTATTGAATTTTTAATTAGCAATGTCATATTATTGAAATTTTTCGAAATTTCGTTTTGATTCAAATGAAGATTTTCTATATCGCAGTACCTTTTTTATACGAATAATTTAATATTTGAGCATGTTAGAAATGGCCACAGATTTAGGACAATACAACTTATCGAAGGCCGTTGGATGCAAGTACAAGGAGATGCATGGTCACTCAGCTACTCAACTATTTACTTCAATATGATTAATAATTGGACTTGCTGGAAGTTTTATTTTTAGGCGATGAAAATTTAGAGCTCGTAATATCGAATTTTTTAGCATCTGAACAAAGCAGCAATAATAGTCAAAGCCGATAAAAAACGTGGAAAATGCTATTATGATTAACTGTAAATTAGACTTAAAGTATTGACTTTTCAGGCTAAAATATTTAAATAAAGAAAAAGCGCACCTGGAAGTGAAGTGTAATGATGAAGGTAGCATTTCTATCATAGGTTTTGTTCCAGTTTTCAGCAAAAATAAAACTGGTACTGAAGTAGAATGATTAAAATCGGTTAATTGGTAAGCGCTCGTTTTGATAAGGTGGAACACTTGAAGTGTTTTCATTAGTGTTCCCGTAGTATAAAGTATACCATGAGGAGAGAAATAAATTTTCCAGCCTGTTTTAAGCTGAAATTGATTTATTTGCAAAGTTGAAATCTCATTAAATGATCAATCAAATCTGGCTGAAGTCCAAAAGTGCAAATTACAATGTTGTGATCAATAACTTTCTGTCAAGCTGTATCATCTAAACGATATTGATTAATTTATGAAAGATAATTTCAATCATGGATTCTATTTTTAGGCTTTCTTGAAAAAAAAATGGAGGATAATTTAGTGAGGTTGTAATAAGCTAACAACAAAATCTAGTAAAGGTTTGAACTACCTAGTCAACAAAATGATAAAAAGCATTTCTTAGCAAATGTATTTCTTAATGATAAAATTAAATTTAAAGTGATTGGAGCCATAGAAAAGGAAAGAAATGGATTAATTACTTAGAAAAACTTATCACAAAGATAAAAGTTTGACAAATGAATCGTCGTACTCTACTAAGACATATATACATATCTGTTACAGTGGTTCAATTGAGCAATTATTAAGAGTGCTAAAAGCTAGCAGTAGTACCTTGTAATGGCTGTTGTTCATCTATCTGTCTAATTTTTCCTGAAGTGTCTAGCAAGTTAGTCTTGAAATATCTAGTAAGATGGTGCAGTTGCTCCTACTACCAAATGCTGTAAATATTCAATTGCTTTATGTAAATAACTGTAGTTGATGAATATGTCAATAATTTTAGTAAAAGTAATCAATCATTTACAATTATTTATTAATAAACTATGAATTTGACCTAATAATAGATAAATTTAACATAATATTGAGGTATTTTGGAAAATGTTCGAAGGAGCGAGATTCTGTTGCAAAAATTTCTTCAATCAAGTATATTTCATTAATTGCATCCACCTTATTTTAATAGCATTCTGCTTGTTAGCTTATAGTAGTTGGTTAATCATTTTCATTTCGTGAAGTACATTTATTACTAAAAAAACAAATGCAGAAATGAATTAGATAGACAACAAGAACATTGGACATTATCTGATTTGTATTATCAACTATATTTCAGAATGTTTTTTTTTTTTCTTTTTTCTTTTATAATACATTAAAAATTTACAAATATCATTTATTACAGTCTTACAAGAAATAGTCCATTGAAACAATCGACTGAAATGAATTTTAAATAAATCGAGAGGTGTCTAAAAAAAATATTGCAGTATGTCAGTGGCATTAGTTTGTTATGTTGTTCTTTCAAATTGAAGTGTTAATATTCTTAGTTTCTTTTAAAAACTAATATTTAAATGTTTCGAGAACTAGTGCAGTTGAGATCAAGCAGACACTTTCAGTTGTCAAATAAACTTCTATTTATTAATATTCTTGGCTATTTTAAAGATTTGCCTTCTTCATTATAAATGGCTCATATGGATGATTAGTTATTTAACAGAACTTTTTTTTTTTTTTTTTACTATTTCTTACAATAAACATTTTTCGGGTGCAAAATTGGTTTTATCTTTTTTTCTTTTCTTATCTCATATTTGTGTTATAAAGAAATAAGCCTGAAATATGTTAGCAAATAACTTCAATAACTTTTCAGTCTTAGTAATGACCTCTTTATTTCAATTTAACGAGTGATACAGCGACGATTCCCAATTGGAATTTGGTTAACATCGTTTATTGTTAATGTTCTATTATCAGTTTATGGTTTCATCAATAATTTTTTTTTCCTCATTCACCTTCTCTTTCTCTTTCATCATTTTTTTTTGTTCTCGGAAAATAATTTCAAACTTTTAAATCATTTAGTAATTCCTTGATTTTCCGCTTTTTTTTTTTTTTTTTAACTTTGATATTATCTAGTTTTTCTCGTAGCATAATTAACATTTCTTTGTTATCTTATGAGCTTCTCATTAATCTCACAATAATTCCACTTTTACCTCTGATTACTTCATATATCAATCGTCCTTTTCTTGTTTAAAATAATTGGAAAATCATCAAGGTTTTTTTTTCCTGTTAAATTAATGATAAGCGTTAGCAAAGATGACAGGTAGGTGAAAAGAATTATATGCATTAGTGCTTTTTTCAGGTAAACAGTGATTTATTTTTAATTATTTTATTATAAGGTGTGTGACCTCATCAAAGAATTTCTGAAGGAAAACAAATGCTTCAAATTGTATTACTGTGGAAATAAATTGACCCTTTTCTCAACTGACAGCACCACAAGAAGGCTCTGATATGAAACACAAACATGCATTAGAAATTTGATTTTCATTTTGCCAGATTCAATTTAATTACCAAAAAATTTTTATTTACTATTAAAGCTATTAAATTAAAACTGACATTGCATAACCAAAAGCAAATGTAGTGTCAAAAGACTGATCACAGATTTTTCCTGACAAATGTGACAAGAAAATCACTTCCACTCTGTTAATAAGAAGGTAAAGTTGGGAACAGAAATGTTCAATTAAGTATGTCATCAGTGAAATGGCGCATGTAGAGTAGAAATGAAATTCCATAGTATTTCATGAAATCAAATTTTCACAAATTTTACTTTGTTGTTCGTAGCACTGATTTACTTTTTAATGTGTTCAAGTTAAATCACTAGAGACACAAAATGCATCACATCCTTTCATGCAGTTATCAGAGAAAGAATTTTTAATTTTTGTTTGTCATTCACTTAAATTTTTTTTTTGTAATCATTCACTTAAATTTTCATTGCATATTTTTTAAGAATTATTATCATAATATTTCAAGATTAATAAAAAAAAAAGTTATGATATGGCGTGCAAATGTTTTTTAAAAACTATTTTAGTTTTTTAAAATTAACTATATTTCAATTTATAAAATAGCTCATATCTAACTGCTGCTAGGTACAGTTGTTGGCCATAAAAAATAATGAAAGAGATGCTTGTTAATGAATGTTTTCGCAATGCAATTTATGGTTTCTTCATGCAATATAGACTAGAATCTAATTATATTTGAATTTGATTAGGCATAATTAAAATATCATACAATTTTGGTTATTGAACATATAGAACAAATGTTAATTTTTATCTGGCTAGCATAATATTTCACTCGAATTTTTTGGAAACTTGATTTAAATGCTTTTAACATTGTGCCTTGTTTTGCACGAAGATTTGCTGTCATAACATTAGCTTGAATATGCTAATCCTTTTCATTATATCCTACTAATAAGATTCTGAAAGGTAATACAAAATTCTTTATGCACTTTATAAGGCTATTCTTCCATATATATTTAGGAAAAAAAAAATTACAAATGGTATGTTGTTTGCTTTTTTTGCACTTTTCTTGCAACTAACTTTTCAATGTGTAAACTTTATGGAAAATAAATGACTTCATTTTACGTAACACTGTCACAAAGTAACGAATGACAACATCATAAATTGGATAAAAAAAGATTTGAATAACTAACAATGCTTTATATCGTTTCATTGGTTATAATAGGAAAATATTAGTTGAAGTTGAACATATCTGACATGCTTTTCAAATGATTAACAGAGATATCATTTCAATAATCACAATGATGCATTGCGACAAACGACTATCTATATATTATTATAGTCACAGATATGTTGTAGTTTTTATCAAAGCAAGGTTATAATTTCTATAAAGTCAAGGACTAATGGGGAAAATAATGAAAATAGACCGCATAAATGTTCAAAAAAATAACCCTAATTACTTAATCAAAATTCATACTGTATTTCGTACAAATTGCGATACAATTTTTCGTTTTTTTTTTTTTTTTTTTGAGAGATAGAAACGCATTATTCAATGAATTTCAACTCAAAATAAGATGAAAGAAATGAAATTTCACTTCGTTACGAAAAGAAAGTATTATTGCTTCTGAAATTCCCTTCTAACAATGTTCATTTTAATTGTTCATGTTGGAGCATTCAAGCTGCTATGTGTACATCATGCATTTTTCAATTTAATTCTTTGGTTCTCTGTTTTTTTTTTTTTCCTTTTTTTTTTAAAAAAAAGAAATTACTTCCTTGCTAACATCATCCACTTTAGAGATATAAACTGTAGTTTTAAGGTACTGAAATTTTGCAACATTTCCGATCACTAAAGGAAGGTATAGCCAATTAGCCAATTTATTCCCCGCGGTAGTTTTTTGATTAATATATTAATAGCAAAAACAAGTCAAAGAAGTGCAGTTGATTTTTCAAATATTTGTCTTTATTTAATGCACTGGAACAAAAACTACACTATAAAATTAAATCGAATGTCCAAATGTCATTACAGAATTTCACTGGAAGTATATCTGAGTGCACAATAAGCATTTCGTTCAATTGATTTTATCAGCAACTGCTGTTATTATCAAAATTGTTACATTAATATCAATACGGAAGAGAAAATTCTGACAATAAAAAATTCTGCTGATTAATTAAATTATTGAAGTGTTTACAAATCGAAATGTCATTGTTGCTTTGTTTCTTTTCATGCTTCAATCTTTGTTAAATCTCTTTATTCATCTCCTTTAAACAATCAGTATTCAGCATTTTTAATTCCAACTTTACCACATGAAACTTTAATGCTAAAATGCGATTTAAATGCCAAAATTCAAATATATCATTAGTTAAAATAAACAGAGTTAATTTCTCAACTATTAGTAATACGTTATTAGTAATAATAAAGTTATCGGAAAACGATATTAAAAGCAATTTTTTTTTTAGCGATTTCTCCAAAAATGCAATTTCCTTTTCCGTACAACTTGTACTACACTACACCTTCCAAAATAATTTGCTGAACCAATGTCCTTGAAAGCATTCAAGCAAAATATTTTCAACAGGTATTTTATTTGGTTTACCGGGCCTGTATAATGAAGTTGGATCTTGGAAAACAAAAAGCTTTCACTTAGTACTTCATTTATCACAACATATAAATTTTCGACATTCTAAAGTTTCCTATTTATTATACAATACTTTTGAACATATTAATAACAAATAAGTTGCAGGAATTTAGAGAACTTCTTATCCAATTATTAAGGAATTTGAATTTTT